TCGAACCAAGATTAGAGTCTTCACTCTCTGTGGAAAGCCACCAAGCAGTTTTTGCACAGCAAACTTCAAGATAGGTCTCAAAATATTGATGACCATGAGCAAGGCTGAGTCCACCCTCAAACCAGCTTGTCTACACCCTATAGTGCCTTCTCTGAAGGGAGGAACCAAGAGACCCAAGCAAATGCACCAACATGCCAATGCCCTCATGTAAATCTATAGTTCAGTCCACCAAGTAGATTTCCCCTCAGCACAAGTGCCTTGTGCCTGGGGTGACAGCTGAACTGGACAGAAAACAAGGGACCTAAAGAAGTGTAAACTCAATCTCAAATCTGCTCTCCATCATGTGGGCAGAAAACAGTTTAGAAACAACCTAGGGAACTTCTGTTCTGACCCAACCAACTTTCTGATCCTGCTCAGCCTCACAAGGGAATGGCTGGAATATCCCTATTCTCTTTACTACAGTGTCCCACTTGCTCCACAGGGTGAAACTGTGCCCATATGTACTCTTCAAACCATTCTCTCATCCTGAAGCCACTTAAGCATTTATTTCCTCTGCTTTTTCAAGCACTACTACATGCCACCACAGCCATTACAACACCCCACAAGGGAGACCTGCCCATGTATCTCAGCATCCTGTCTGCAGCTATTGCCTCTGAAGTCCAATCAAATATCTCTTTTTGAAAAATACCTGTTCATTTGTAAGACTTACAGATTTGAGAAAATTATATTATTGATAAACCAGTAACAAAAAAATAAATTGTGGGCTCACTAGAACTGCAGAAAGTCCAAGAGCTTTAAGTTTTGCCCAGCACTGAGACAAGAGGGAAATCCTGGCCCCACTGAGTGTCAGAAGAGCCAGACATCACCTTGAGCATGGTCAGTTGAAGAGGTTTATCTTTCTCTGCAGGTCCTGGGCCAGCAGAGCAGCACAGTCTGTGCCAGCCCTCCCAGGGAGGTTGGGTGTGCAGGGGCAGGACTGGCTGGCACACAGGCTCTGCAGGCTGCAGGCTGCCTGACCTTGATGGTATATAGTCTTACCAAGTGTCTCATCTCAGAATCAGACATGTCTAATGAAAAGGAGAAAGAGTTCCCAGGATAGTTGGTTTGTTTTCCTTAAAGAAACCCAACCAACTAAACAAACAAAAAACCCCTTTGTTTTTCAGGTCTAACTCATCTGAGACCTATGTCCTCCTGTCCTGCCTGTTCCTTCCCTCCTCACTGGCTACCAGAGCCTTTTCTCCAGACATACAATACATTTGGTCTATAAAGAGACCATTCTCCATGTACAGCTGCATTTGAGTAACTCTCAGAGGCTCTGAAGCACAGCCAACATGCAGAAATATAAAACCCAAGAGGACTGAGCCTTGTTTCACCTGAGACAGGTTTATCTTACACACAGCCCTGTTCTCTGAGGGAGCTGATCATTTCCACTGAGCCATAAGAAACAGACATTTTTGACAAGATGTTTCTGGACTCAAACCCAACCAGAGGCTCTTGATTTTGTGCAGGGTTTTTCAACTCTATTTTGTTGGAATGCCCTGTATTACTGTAATACTCCCACAGTTAGGGGTATTTTCCTCAGTTAGGCCTAAAAGAGAAGAATTATGGATTAAAATATGAAACAAATGATAAATCACTTGTGTGCTGCTGGTAGGAATTCAGATACGATGATTATAAGTGCTGAGGAAAATGCCTGAACAGAACATAATCAAAAGAAGGGATAAGCTCTACAGTGTTATAGTCATCTGAGCAGAGACTGCACAGCCCTAGCAGCAGGGTGGAAGCAAGAGCTGCATTAGATTCTGTGTAACCCACAACAATTTCATGCTAAATACACAGCCCACAATGTGAAATTCCCACAATGAAGAACACACATATAGCATTTCCAAAGCAAGTTACAGAGGCACCCTGGAAATTCCAGGGCAGCAGACAAGGGGACTGTATCTCACAGCATTATTCCAAAACCTGAACTAATATGGAAGGCACTGTGCTTGGCTGATGTTTGGGAAGCACACCACAGCTATGCTCTGCTGCCTTTCTTCATGGCCAGCTGCTTTTGAGATGGGATCAGAAGCATTAGCCCTACATAAAAGAACCTAAACCTGATCAAACTGTCACAGTGGTAATCAACCATGGTGCTCCTCTGAGGGTTGGTGTAGCAGAAAGTGAATGAGATTTGTAACACCCCTTCTGTCCCTGAACTCTGAGAATTCAGAATTGTTTTAGCTGCAAGGCTCGGACTAAAAAGGCAGAGAAGCACTACACTAACTCACCCTAGAGGAGAATTACAATGTCTGTCCTGAAATCTGAAACACCATAGCACAGTTTGCTTCTCCATTTTGGTTTCTATCAATAATCTATGCCTCAAATAAAACATGGAAAAATGGAGAATGGGGAAGAGAAAGGATTTTAAGCACACATGGTAGCAGTGGATCTACCTACATCCAAGAAAGAGGAGTTAATTAAAATCACCATAATTTCTTTACTGTTGTTTCTTGAGTCATTGTGAACTAAGAATGGAGTCTTAGCTGCTCCCAAATTGTATTCACCTGGCAGTGAGACTTGTATTTGAGGCAATATCCCCTTTACCAGCACCCACAGCAAATGTAACCTTATATTTCAGTAACCTACACAATGCTCTCTCTTCTTCTAACTTAGCTCAGTGCATGATATGTAAGTTTACTCTCACATAGCACAGCTGGTCCACATTCACAGACAGGAGAAAACTGTGCATATAAACTATGCTGGAGGCATAAGGAATAACCAGAGCAGTTTGGAGCAAAGCAGAGAGAGAAAATGGGATATAGAAACACCCAATTTGGTACCTTAGACTTCTTTAAGCTTAACACCCTGCTGCTGGCTACAGCCAGTGCATATGTCTCTTTCTCTTCCACGTGCCTCTCTAACTGTCCTTTCATAGTGGAAAGATATTTTTCCTCATTTTTATGGTGATTAGCTTGTTCAGGGAATTATAAAGCTGAGTCTATCTTTCATCATCTTATGTAATTTTGTACTAATGGCTTTAAAAATGACACAGCGACAGCACTCGTTCTGTTCTCCTCTCTGAGACAGCCCACACACATCATATACAACTGCTCCCACAGTTACTTTCTCAAGTAATCCCATTAATACAGTGCAGAATAGTCCCTCAGGCATCATCTCAATAACTCTTCTCTGTTCAGGCTTTGTGCTGTTTTTCTCTCGCCCTTTGCTCTCCTAGTTCCTCGTAATTACTGTCTCTTCATGCTCCCTCTGTGCACCCATGAGAAGCCTTAGTCACTCCCAGTGATGCTCCTGGCCACATCCAGCCTGTTGATGGGACCATAATGGTTTTTGCCTTTTGTTGTGCTGTCAAGTAAATTTTTTAAGAGCTTCATTCAGATAAGCAAAAGATATTCTCCTTTCACTGCCTGGCTGTGATGTGACAAACCTTGAGCTCACTTCATGTGCCTGGACCATGGCAAGACTGATATTTGTAGTTTTCTGCTCTTGGTTCCACAGTACAAGAATATATTGCAACAAGTTTGTGCAACAAGCTGACACACTTTTTCTTCTCTTCAGAGCTGCACTGACCTCTTTAGATTAACATGATGCCTCATCCTAATTGACTCACTCCTGTAGCTTAGCTAAATTCAAACTGTCTTCTTTAAATCCTGTAATGTAAACAATACATTTTATTGCCACAGCTACATGGACATTAGTTAAAACAACTTTACATTCTGAAAACAGCTACATGATGTTGCTGGTTTATGTGGTTTTGGCAAGAACACTTTTTCTCTTTAAGCACTGCCACCTCTTGCTCTCAGACACGGCTGCTGCACTAACCATTAGCAGGTCGGGCCAGTATCACTGCTGAAAAGTTTACAGAAAGCCATTCCTAGACACTGGCAGAGGAACAGATTCCTAATAAGGCAGAGCCCAAGCTGCCCTGTGCTATGGGATGATACCCAGACACCACAGCAGGCTGAGTTCACCTGCAGAATCCTCTGCACAACACAGCTCAGCTCTGTGAAAGCTCTTGATGTATTTCATGCACTTCTGCATGTGGACACATCTTTATATTGGACTCCCTGAAGCCTCTGCATGCAAACACTCACACTGTGGGCCTGTCCCCCCTAGAACAACCCAAGCTACTGACACACAGTGAGAGGACAAACTGCTGTCCCACAAGCACCAAGTCTGGGCCTCAGTGCTGAGCTTGCTCACAAGGCCAGTACCTTAACAAGAAGAAAGTTTCTCTCTTTAGCTCTTCTCTTATTATATTTTGCTAAAATGCTTTTAACAACCTGTAGTAATTTTCTGTGCTTTCAAGCCAGGATCTCAAAGCACCTGAAAAACCCTTTCCTTCATCTTTTGTGGTGAGTTCAAGGAGACACAGAGGGATAGGGAAATTATGCCTTTGAATCTAAAGCTGTGCTCAAAAATCTAAATCCTGACTCTGCCCATGACAAACAAAGCAACCAGCTGGTGGGAGAACAGCACATCACTCCAAACAACTGCACTATTAGAACATCATCCATTGACACCTTCTTTAAATGATCTTTAAAAAAAAAAGGGATATGCAGCCCATCAAAACAGCTTTTCAGTGATGCACTGGGAGAGTCTCTCCATGTGCACAAAACCCAGGCTCAAATAGTTTTCTCTGTATCATTCCCACTTCCCTTTCACCTTGAAAAGCAAAACACCAAAAAAATATTTAAAAATCAAATCACACAAGACAATTCCTACTCTCCTTTAACCAGTAAAAAACATCAGAGCCAAAGGTAAGATTTCTGGCAGGTTGGGAGTAAAATTTAGTCTGCATGCCACAAATCCGTGGTTAGATATTCCCTGTTATTTTTCAGATAGTCAAGCAAATGATCTTCACATGCACAGGTAAGTCAGTACATACTTATTGATTCTTGGACATGCCTATAATTGTGATAATCAGTTAGAAAAGTTACCATGTAAAGCCTTTGCAAAATGTGTAACTTACAGTTCCATTGCTAAAGAGGACTTACCTTTAAGGACTCCCAGAGGGGAAACTGTACCAGAGAGAAAGGAATCTGGAGAGGTGGGAAAACAAGAAAAAAAACCAACAACAATGTTACAAAAGCAAATTGGGTTGGCATGTTCCTCAACTGGCTAAATTAGGAACAGTTATTGTTCCCTCAGTGAACTGCAGCTTATTACATTTACAAATCTTTACGGACACTTTATGTACACTGCCATTAAGTGACTGGTTTCACTAAAGCAGTTTTACTTTGTTTATCACATTCCCTGCTGAGAGGTTAATGTATTGTTACCAGGGTGGCCTAGAAGAGCAATAAGCAGTATGATCTAGTGCAGGGACATTCTTGGTTTGACACTCAGCCAAGAAAGCCATAAGGATGGTTCAAGAAACACGTTCCCAAGGCCAGGAACACTGCTTGGCAAACAAACATCTTCAGCAATGCACACTCTCACAGATGCTGAGCTGAAAACAGTTGTGCTCCAACCAGGGCATCAGTTGCAAAAACTTTTCTGAACATCTCCCAGTGATATCCCATTAACAAGTTCCCTTGAGAATGAAAAGCAGGTTGTGAAGAGCTACCACAACCCAACTAAAACCCAAGGGAGAAACTTGGTGGTTCTCTTCTCACTGCCTGTAACATGAGGTTCTTCTGTCCAGCAACAGTCTGTGTC